TGTTAACTAACATCTTGGTGAGAACTATTAGCTTAGAAGCAAATCCCATTTGTGTCAAGAAAGCTTAGGACTGTAACCTTAAACAGTTTGCTTCTCTTTATAAAAGGTTCTTGGTTAACAAGCCAAGTGTTTAAAGTAGTTAACAAATCACTTTGGGTTCAGAGTAGTTCCACTTAACAAGTACTGGTGGGGGGTGAAAATTGTCCCTAACAAAAGAAAACAAGAAAACAGTGTGACAGCCACAGCAAAGTTTGAACATAATCTCAATTATTTTTGAGTTTCTCTATTAATGCATGCATAAATTGCTGATGTTATGAGACAGAATAAGAGAAAGTACATTTAACATGACAGAATGCAGTTCATCATTGCTCCCTCTATATATTATTTCTACAGCACAAATTCTCATACGCTTTTTGAGCGTAGTTTTATAAAAAGCAACAACTTCGCAATGCATTTTTAATGTCCAGTATTGCTAACTAATTACATTTCTTGTATTGGGTGTTGCAGTTTAAACTCTGAGAATTTCTGAAGTGGGAAAAATAAAAGGAGGATTTTAGGAAGGGACAATGTGGAGGTCTCCCATTGAAATCTATTTTATCAAAGGAATGTGATGAAGTTGTGTGTATATCATGCTTGTTACCATGAGGGATGAATAGAGAAAGCAATTATCTTGCCTAAGGCCATTTATTTCATTAAATGGGGATTATGCAGGAAAAATATCAGTGCCCTGCATATATTGAATATGCTGCTTTGGTCCATTGGTTATTTATTTTATCAATTCCCATCAACCCTGATTATTTGCTGTACTGGCTGTGGCTGATAGGAGCTGCTTATAGATCTCTGAGTCATCTGTTGGTGAAAAGACCTGCTTTCATAACTGCTGCAAAGAAGATCAGAAGTCGCTTCTTTAGATATCTTTTTTTTCTTGCTTGTTATTCATTACTTTTTCTTTTACCCTTCTATAATCTCTTTTTCTCTTTCTTCTTCTATGTTTCTGTAGTTTTTTAAATCTTTGTAAAATGTTCTTTTAGTAAAAATTACTCATAAAGAAAGAAACCTGCCCTTTCAGGCTATTTAGAGACATGGAGTAGCCACCCTTGGTTGGACGGGCTCCTGATTCCAATCACAGATCATAATTAAATTTTGGAGTGTTTGTATTTCTGTGGGGGGAAGGACTCATATGCATTTTCTTCTTACGTGAATCATTTGTATACAGATACAATCTACAATCACATTTATTTTCTCCTTTTTGAAGCAACATCACAATGTTTTGGTTGCCAGCACTTGCCTGACCTTCTTGTCTTGACAGTCTGGGAACTCCTGTGCATTGTGGATGATTCCATGGGAGCAGCTTCCACTCAGGAGTCCTCCAGGGACATTTTGATGTAGCGCCCCAAGTATGGCCATGCCGGTTGGGGATGGCACCAGGTGGTGGATGACTGTTCTAGAATAATGCTCTTGGCTTATGTGGAATGCCAGACAAGACCACTGAGTCTTCTTGTTGCCTGAATTTGCAGAAGATGAGCCGCGTTAGTCTGTGGATGCCAAAAATCATGAGGATTGTGGTAACACCTTTTCCCCTTTTTTTAATAAGAAATTTATTAAGTTGTGAAAAGCATAAAGATAAAAGCAAACAAAAACTGATGATCAAAGAAAGAAAGAGAGAAAACAGAGTTAGAAATAAATAATACAAAAGGGATGAAAAGTAAACAAAAGGGAAGAAAGGAAAAATTACAAAAAGAATGACTTCCGATTTCTTATACAGCAGATATACAGTAGATAAATCATATAGTGACCTCTTACTCTAAAACTACATCTTAACATACATATTTTGTAT